GGGGGGGGGGGCTAGAAGGAAGGGGGTGCCGAGTGGGAATTGTCAAGGGCAGGTTTTCAGTGAACCGTTAGTACACGGCCCCAGTCTTATGGAGATTTGCTTGTCAAGACATTTTGGGCCTCCGGCTTACTGAACCACAATGGTTGGCGGTGCCAGCCAAAAAAAAAAAAAGGTGCCGGTGGCGGCTTGGAAAAGCTTGGCGCGCAGTGCAGCGCCTTCAAGCCCGTGTGCACTGGTGGTTTGAGTTGGAAAAGGTACTGACATGACGCATGATTAGTTCAATACCGTCTTCACCCAATACACCGTGGAGTCATTATTGCTGCATCTAGACTCAAAGTTGCCCCAGATACAGCTATAATAACCGTACGTTGTATTGGGGTGAAGACTGTAGCGTGGCCTGCCAGTCAGGCTCTCCAGGACAGTCCTTGGGCCGGTCTTTGGCTCTTGGGAGTTCCAAGAGGAGAGGGGGGAGGGGAGACTGGCGGAGGACGACTGGAAGAGGGGTTCCCTTTTAGAACCGATAGAGCAAAATTAGCCAGACCGGACTGGATTGCACCTGGGCCGTTTTGCATCCAGGTTCGGATTTTGCATTCAGGCATCCGTGCTTCCAGGTGGTTCCGCCTGTTTGTTTGTTTTTTGTATTGTGGTAGCCCATGACGCTTTGGGCCTGGGCCGGTAGTGAATGTGGAAGACCAAGATGAAAGAAAACAGTTGGAGGCTCGCGGGCCTTGGAAGGTAGTTTGATCAGCTTAGGCTCGTGTTGACTGGTGGGTTAAGTCACCAGTCCTTGGTGCCCGCCAAAAAAAAAAAAAAAAGAACCGGTGCGTTCTCTTTTTCAACTGGCGCCGCCAATCATTTGGCTCTGGTAAGCCACCAGTCCTTGGTGCACATCCCCTAAAAAAAAAGAATTCGCTTGTTTTCTTTTTTGGCTGGGGCCGCAAGTCATTTGGCTCTGGCATGCCGTGCGCTGGAAGTCGTGGCGTCTCCGGAGGTGAAGACATTGTGAACTACAGAAGTGCGACACTCTTGATCTCTAGTCTGCTATACCTTTCTCAAATCATTGAATCAATTTCGATAATCAAAGAAGTGATAGGTCAACTAATAAATTCATGGCAGATGCCAAACACGTTTCCGATTGTCATGTGCTCGGCTTGGTTCATTTTAAAAGTGGGAACCTGGGGGCTTGCATCTGAAGTTGTGTGTGTGACACAGGAATCCCACAAGAGCCTATGTTGGGGTGTGCTCGGGGTCCTGTGCTCCATGCACCAATGTTTCAGACTCTGGGAGGGAAAATCTCTGTGCTTTTTATTTGATGGATGCCAGAAGGATTTGCTTGTGAATCGGTATGTTTGTGTCAAGTGTTTGCATGGTGGTCGAAATTGGACTCTGCAGTGGAGATTTGAGCGTGTTCCTTTTGAGGTTATGAGAGGTTTCTTGCCTGAGGCTTCGTTTGTCTGCCTTGTGCAGGTTAATGAGGAGGCTACGGACAAGGTGCTCGAAGTTGAGCAGAAATACACAGAGATCAGAAGACCGGTGTACAAGAAACGATCGGAAATCATTTCACAAATCCCGGATTTCTGGCAGACAGCGGTGAGTAGAGAAGGGGATTATATCATGATGGGATATTTTTTCGAGTTATTTTGATTCGAATTTCGACTTTTTGTAAGCTCTAATGATATTTCTTCCAGCGCAGTTGTGACCTCTCTTTCAGTCACATGTTTTCAGCGTTGTGGTGTTTCTTGCATGTTCCCCTTCTCTGTTGTATTCGGTGCCTGATGGCCGAGGACTGTCGGACTCTCGGTAGGTTAAAGGGTTCGAACCCCTAACAAACGATTAACTCTGTGGTTCTATCGTATTCTGTCTGATGTATCAAGACTGTCAGACTCTCGATAGGTAGGGTTCGAATCCCTAACGAACGAGAAACTCAGTGGCTCCCCCTGCAAGGTCTGTTTCTTTGTTTTCAAGGTAATGGATGTAAGTGATTTCTTTTATACTGCCAAGGCGTGCTCTGGACTTCTCATTGCTCTTGGGAAAATGTTTTATAACAACCCCTGAGATGTCCTGAATGGCTCTCCAATGTCTGCCCTTCTGCCTGCGTGCACCGCTTGTCCTCTTGTGAAGAATGGAAGACAGTACGTGGCCTACGGACTGCAGACTGTAAGCTGGAGCTCATGGAAGTGAAACAGCCATGTAACAAATTGAACCCAACACCCCCCCCCCCGGCTCGTTCCCCTCCCAAAAACAGGAAGGGAAAAAAGGGGTTTGGAGTCTTTGGACCAATGTTTGCAGGTCATACGCTTCCTGGGCAGGCTGTTGAGGTTCAACGTCCTGATCAGTCCGATGACACAGTCACGTGTCTTTGTGCAGTTGTGTGTAGGGAACATGACAACACACACGTAACCCTTTTGCATACTATTTCAGATCACCTGCTGACGAGTTGATGAAAGTCCGACCAAACAGTCTGTTGCAGTTAAACCTTCTTATTATGTGGAGCTGTGGAGCGTCAGCGAACATGAAAGCACATGAAATGCAGCCCCTTTTGCACTGTATGTGCACACACTCGTCCTTCATGTAATCGCTCTCTGCAAATTCGAGGAACAATGGTCAAAACTGTCTACAGCAAGGTGTTTGACTTGATGGCGAACAATGCATTATGCAGAGTCCTATTGATTTCCCCTCACCGAACTAGTAGAATATCTCTGCGTAGCGGTTTTAAGCCGTGCGAGCATTACTCACAATGCAGTGTCGTTCTATTGCGTGCAGTTTTTGACGCATCCTGCCCTGTCGCAAGAGCTCACGGTGGAAGATCGGAAGGTGAGTTACGGGTGCCCTTTTTGTGTGTTCTCGGCCGTCCCTTATGCTCAGCTGCTGTTGTGTGGCAATGTTGTCTAAGCTCCTCTCACCGGAGCTGTCAGGGCCACTGGTAGACTTGTCCCTACTTTCATCCAGCGGGACTACCTTGTTCGTTGTCTCGCCTGCCTTGGGCTTATTGTACGAACTACATGACCGTTGTGGGCTTGTTTTGATAGATGTTTGGAAAAAAGCTCCTTTATTGTTTCAAATTCTCTGAAGTCTCTTCCCATTGGGGTTTGTTGATTATGTCTGTGATCTGATGTAACTTGGTGTAATCGGCATGTCGTGTCTGGTGTGATTATCGGCGCCTGTTGAATCGTTTTTACTACTGACTTCAACAGTACCTACCTATAGGCTGTTTGTGACATGGATGTGGAGGTTCGTCTGCCACTCTTGCGGCCTTTGGCTACGAGGATCCTGTGATGTAGACAGGATCCAGAGGAAGTGCTTTTTTGTATTGAAAACAGGCCAATTTTGACTGGTATGGCTTTTGTTTTGGTGGTGATGAAACCCTGATGAGCAGGCCTTTGGCTATGAGGATCCTGTGATGTAGACAGGATCCAGAGGAAGTGTTTTTTTGTATTGAAAACAGGCCAATTTTGACTGGTATGGCTTTTGTTTTGGTGGTGATGAAACCATGATGAGCGCCCCATACAGACCAAGGTTAAGGGTTCGAGTCCCACAGAGTCGTTCTCTTCTGAGTGAGTGTGCCTTTGGTTTGGTGTGCGCAGGTTTTCAAGTACCTGAATCAACTTGAGGTAGAGGTTTTGGAAGATGTCAAGGCCGGTTACGACATTTGCTTTGTAAGTCGTCCATGCCTTGGTCCGGGACATCCTTTGGATTTCTGCTGTAGGCAACTGATATAAGAGTGGATTTCTGGTTCTAGATCTGACTAGAGGATGTGCAGCTCGGTGGCAAAGAGCGGTCCTGAGGTTTTGCAGACATGGGGGTGATGGAACGCAGCTTTTGAAAACAAAATTGGATTTGGAATGAGGTCACCTGGTTAGATTGATGCATGCCGTCTCGTCAGTTCTTTAGTGTCAAGTCGGAACATTTCTTTTTGTTCGATTGTGGCGCTGAATGAGGGCACAGCAAAGCTGAATGAAACCCTGTTTTCCAACTGTTTATTTAAGTACCACTTACCGGTGATGGCTGTTTATCGACGTGTGCCAAGTACTTCCAAGATGCAGTGGACCCTTGCACAGTCCTGACCGTTCATCGAAATGGATGGGGTTGTTATGCTGGATGCCTCCTGCGAACTGCTTGGCCGTGGCTCTTTATCGAAGAGATCTGGGACAGTATTGACCAACTGAGCTAGCTGTGTTGGGCCTTGGTCTTGCCAGATGCTCACAACATAGCTAAATTGTTTGGCTGCCATTCGGCGTTGAGGCTGCTTCCAATTGAATCAGGGAGGTGATCGTTTTTGTAAATGAAGAGCACAACTAATGTGGATGCATGAAGAGCCTGCCTGAGTCGGGGAGTTTCAGGGAATGCAACTCCTTTTTTTTTTTTTTTTTTTTTTTTTTTTTTTTTTTTTTTAAAGAAGCAGAACCTTAGGGGTCTGGCTCCTTTTCCATTCTGGGGAGCATCATTCCGGTTCCTCTTCCACAGGCAAGTCAATAGTAATTACATTTCGGGGACACACTCTTCGCCTTCAAGGTAGGAAAGCCCGAGGGACGGCATTGATTACTTCTCTCAGGAAGGATGCACCGCTCCTCACCGCTGCCTAAGTTAGCCTATTTTCTTTTATGTTGAGTCTAAAACCTGGTAAGGTACTCAGGGGAGTGGGTCCTATCAGCTTGCTTCAGAGCGGCCTCGTCTAACCTGTTCCTCTCAGTTCTCTGACTGCCGGATTCTCCTTGAGCACTAGAGCTGTAGACTTGAGCCTCCTCAAAAGGTTTGGATCCGCCCTAAAACCATTTCCGACCTAGTTGCTATTGCAGACGGGCGAGAATAAGCCCTAACTTCTCTTTGTTAGCCCTCTTCGTCTACCCTTTCAACCTGACTCTAAAGCCCACACCCTTGCAAATTTGAATGGTCCACTAATCTTTCCTGTCTCCCGTATCCTACGTTGTTCCTGCTTTGACTGGTGAAGAGAGTCGTTTGGGAACTGTATGTGGATACGGACTGTTAATGTTTTAGCTGGTTTAAGCTGAGCTTGTGTGGGATGTTTGTATGTCTAGGTCGTGGGGTTGGGTGGAAGATATGTTCTGTTGTGTGCGGCTTGGCCGGGGGGTTGTGGGCTGGGACCGGGGTGGTTTGTGTAGGGGAGATCGGGCTGGATGCTTGAGGTCGGGGGATGAAGGTATGGAGGTGTTGGAGGGGATGGGGGATGCGTGATTCCTTTTGTTGGAGGTGGCGCTTGTGAGGGTATGCTGTTGGGCGTGTGGTCTGTTAGTAAAGGTCTTTGTTGTGTTGTCATTGGTGTCTGAGACGTAGTGTAGGGGGAGTGTAATCTAGGTGGTGAGGGTTGGGGTACGTATATGTTCGTTGTCTGCCTTTGGTGTGGGCCCTGCTGGTAGCTTAGAAGGAATTGATCTGGATGCTCAATGAGTCTGGTGTGCTAATGGCGGGACTAAAGTCGGTTGTAATGTTTTGTGTTATGACGTTCCACATTGTGAAGCTTAGGCTCTGACCTTTGACGGTTGCTATTTTGCCTTTGGCGAGGTAGTTATCCCCAAATTTGGTTTGGAGGTCTTTCTTTGGCTTTGGGTTCGTTCGCCTTCATTTTCCTCTTGACTTTATGCCATAGGGCCCAGTATTCTGTTTCCACTTGTAACCTGAGGATACTCCAGGCTTCCTACACATGCATTGGTTGTATTTCTACAGTTTCTTGACATCTTTTTCTCCATATGGACCATAGTGCTGCTTTGCGCAGAATTTGGAATAGGTTTATTTGCAAAGGTGACCAGTCATTGGGAGTTGTGAAGCCTAATAGGATGAGGGGAGTGTTTGATGTGAAAGATGTGTTGGATATTGAGAACCATATCTGTGAGATCAAATTCCATACGGGTTTGATCTTGGGGCAATGGAAAAAACAATGGAACAGATTCTGTATTTGTCCTTCTGTACAGCTGGCACACAGTTCATTTAGAGGGCTTCTCTCTTCTATTCTTCTTCTGCTGTTCAGCCATTGATTCAGTGGGATTGCTAGGTTAAGGATTAACCATTGCAGACTCTTGAATTTGGGGGGGTGTAGTGTTGCTATGTCGGTCCACGGAATTTCTTTCAAAGACTTGGGTTCTACTTCGAGGTGCCTATTCCAACGTTCTGCTATGACTGTTTCTGGTGCTCTTGATCTACGTCTGAGCTTATAGCCTAGACTGGTGGTGTAGTTGATTAGGCTGATTCTGCGGTTGATTCCTGTGAACTTCTGTTTTAGGTTCCATGCCCATTCCGCTGGGTCCACTTCTAAGTCCTCTAAGTTAGTTTGGGGTAGAAATATAGTGAAATCTTCTTTTTCTATTACTCTTGACTTTTCTGAGGTTGATTTCTCTGACTGTGACGTGGGCTACCGGGTCTCTATTGACTTTGCAGTAATCTGTCTAGAGCGTGCATAGAAAAAGTGGAAAAGTGGGCCAATTCCTTCTACCATCTTTTTTTCTAATAAAGGCTAGTGCATGGTCATGGGGCCTTGTGTGTGGTATTACTGCCCAGTCTCCTGTTGACCACTGTTTGTCCTTTTTGAGAGTTGATGTCCATTCCACCGGTGTGGCGTTTGTCATTTGTTGGAGGTTTTGGATTAGGTTGTGGCAGCCCTTGAGTTTTCGTCTGAGCTGCCCCGCCGACTGCCAGTCCGTTTTAGAGTCGTCCCATATGTGCTTGATTTGCCAGATGCCTCTCTCTACCCAAGACCCCCATCTTGCGTCCTTTACGGCGAGAGTGAAGGGTGCCTTCGTGATTGACCATCCACGAGTCTCAGAAGAGAGGCTGTCTGATGATTTCTTCGTTGCTGATTGGATTCCTTACTTTCGACGGAAAAATCTCTCTCCACGCCCTCAGAAGTCTCTTCCAGAAGTTCAGTCTTTGTTCGTTTTGGGATTTGTTCTTTATGGTCCACGATTTGCTCATGATCCAGAAGGTGCCTTCCATGTTCTCTGGGGTGCTGTAGCTCGGTAGTTGTTGCAATCCTTCTAGTGCCAGGGCTCTCCAGGGTAGTTTAGGATTCAATAAAAGCTTTATAATCCACTTGGATTGTAGAGCATTTATTTGGATGGTCGGGTCTAAGACGCCTAGTCCCCCCTGGCTCTTCGTTCTTGTTACATATTGCCAAGCCACCTTTGTGATGAAGTTCTGTCTTGATGCGTCTCCAGTCCAGAGGTAAGTTGTTGCTTTCTTTTGGAGGCCCTTTTTTGGGCTCTTTGATCTGGGGCCCAGCAGGCTGCAACGTACCACATCATCGAGTATATGGAGACATTTAGGACTAGCTCTCTGCAATGCAGGGAGGTGTGGATCTTCCCCCAGTCGTTTAGTTTGCTGGTCATTTTAGCTAGTAGGCTGGGTGCCATTTCTGTTGCAGCTCCATGGACCGACATTTGTATTCCTAGCATTCTAAGCGGGTCACTTGGGTTCCCCCATGTCAGGCCTTCTGGTGTGTTTCGGGGAGGTTCGATCCCTTCTTCTGTTAGCCACCAGCCCACTGTCTTGCTCCAATTTAGGACTAGCGCTCTGCCATGCAGGGAGGTGTGGATCTTCCCCCAGTCGTTTAGTTTGCTGGTCATTTTAGCTAGTAGGCTGGGTGCCATTTCTGTTGCAGCTCCATGGACTGACATTTGTATTCCTAGCATTCTAAGTGGGTCACTTGGGTTCGCCCATGTCAGGCCTTCTGGTGTGTTTCGGGGAGGTTCGATCCCTTCGTCTGTTAGCCACCAGCCCACTGTCTTGCTCCAATTGATGCGCATTTCTGAGGCTAGTTGGAATGCGCGCTTTGCTCTAGTGAGTGCTTCAAATGAAGAGGATGAAGCTTTTATGAGGATGGTTAGATCATCTGCAAACAAGATTGTGGGGGGGATGTGGTACTTACGCGGATTTTGTTCTGTCCGTTCGGTGAATCTTTGGATGGATGGATCTTTCCTTAAAAAGGAGGCGATTGCTTCCATGATGAAAAGGAAGATTGGTGCCGCCAGGGGATCGCCTTGTCTGACCGACCAGGACATTTTGTATTTGTTGGATACTTTATCATTGATCTTTACTGCCCCCATTGCATCGTTGTAGAGGACTCTTACCCATTTCCTGAAGTTAGGTAGGACCCACTCCCATTGTTTCCATGCACTGTCGTAGGAAGTCCCAGTTGGCTTGATCATAAGCCTTTTCAAAGTCAAAGAAAAGGATTGCTGCATTCATTTGTTTATCTCGGATGTATCTTACTGATTCTGCTAGCGACATAACAATGTCTAGAATGAACCGTCCTGGGATGAAACCTGTCTGGTCTATATGGAAGCAGTTTTTGATGATCTTCCGAATTCTGTTGGCTAGTAGTTTTGCCAAAATCTTGTATGCCACTGTTAGTAGTGTGATGGGTCTTTAATTTCTTGTCTGATGGGTCACCTTGTTCGTAGAGCAGTGTGACTATACCGGTGCTAAGAGCTGGTCGTAGGCTTTCGTTTGTCCATGCTGATCTTAAGAAGTGGCAATATTCCCCTCCTAGGGTTGGCCAGTAGTTTTGCCAGAACACTCTTGAGAGGCCGTCTATTCCTGGTGTTTTATTTGGCTTCATTGAATCTAATGCCTTTTTAATTTCTTCATTTGTGATTGGTTGGTCAAGTTCTTCTGCCATGGTGTGTGATATGGTTTTATCTAGGTGTTTGCTGAATTTTTCTCTAGCGTGAAGGTCTGTTCTAAAGGTAGGTGCTTCTGTCTTGGCGGTGTACAGTTGTTTGTAGAATGATCTTGGCTGAATTTTTCTCTAGCTATGGAGAGCATCTTTGGTGGGTTTGATGTTAGGCCTTCTTCTCCTCTCAGTTGGCTGATGGTTGAATTCCTTCCTTGTGCCTTGATTTTCTGGAAGACGTATTTTGTCATTTTCTCTCCCTTTTCCCATTCTCTTATCCTTTCCCCTAGTCTCAAACCATTTGCTTTCCAGCCATTCCAGGTTGCTAGTTCTGATTTAGCTCTAATTAGTAGTTCTTCGTAATCTGCGGAACTAAGGTTATTACATAAATAATCTGAGGAACTAAGGTTATTACATAAATTGGTTTCAGCGACGCTGACTGCAGCCTCTAGTTCCTTTATTCTCTGATTTCTGTTTGCTGCTATTTTCCATGAGGCTGTGGAGGCTGCTCTAGAGAGATTTGCTACTAGGGACGGGAAGTCTGCCTCTGCTCTATCTGAGACAATGCAGGCTTTACTATAGCCTCTTTCATTTCTCGGGTGTGAAGGATAGAGTTATTGATCTTGAAGAAGCTCGGTCCTTTTTGTAGCCCTGGGTCAAATATGAATTCCATGAAGATTGGGCTGTGGTCTAGGCCGTTGTGGTAAGGTAGTTTTCCTATACCCACGTTCAAGATAGAGCCTCTAAGAGATTCCGATACTAAAATAAAATCTATGGCCGAGTTAGTAATGTGCTGGGTTCTATTTCTTTTCCTATACGTGAATCTGTTTATCTCTGGGCGAAGCGTTCTAAGGGGTTCAAAAAGGTGTCTTTCCATTAATAGTATGTGCATTGCTTGGGACTCTGTTTGTAATTGACTTTCCCTATCCCCTTGAGAGCATGATAGTCTGTCTCTAGCAGGGTCGAGGATTGTGTTCCGGTCTCCTGCTAGGAGTAAGTGTTTCTGAACCTTACACATTTCTGTTGTGCTCTGTATGAAGATTTGTTTGTCTTTGTGAACAGTCATTCGGGCGTAGGCGTTTATGAGTTGAAAGGACTCTTCCTTGAATGTGAAGAAGGAATCTATCCATCGACCCTGAACTAGGTCTGTTCTATTGTGCTCTATTTGTATTAAGTTGGCCGCTCTTTGTAAAAGTTATTGTGCCGAAGGATTGCTACTCCAGCTGATCCTGGCCTTGGTGCTGGGGCCCAGCATGCAGCTCGTACGTATTTTAGTCTTATTAGGATTTTGCTGATTATAGCTTTGTGTTCTGGGGCTTCAGTGAGGTGGGTTTCCTGCAGGCATAAAATGTCTGAGGGGCTTCTTGAGAACCATCTAATGTAGTTGGTCAAATTGTCCCATTTGTCTGTTTTGGTCAAGATTGTAGCTAGTTCGTTGACATTGCATGACATCACAGAGAGTTCAGGCTCCTTGGGTTTCATGAAGAACCATATCACACACCATGGCAGAAGAACGTGACCAACCAATCACAAATAGCGCGTGGGCCTGTTCTCTGTCTGGTTGGACATGCACTGATGTGATGTCATGAAGCTACTACGGGGACCGTGCAACTACTCTGGGAAGTTTGGGACCCTTTTCCCACTATCTTTCTCCACTATCTTTTCCCACCATTCTTTTTTCTCTCCTTGACCTTAACTACGTTGGGACCCTTTTTCCTCATCCCTGTTCCCTTTTCTTTGTGCTTTTCTTATCGTCTTTCTGTACAGATTGCACTGAACTGAACTCTCGTGATTGCTTTATCCGTTTCTGGAATCTCATGAACAGACATTCAAGCCGAATCCCTACTTTGAAGATGCGAAGTTGGTGAAATCGTATAGATTTGTGGATGGAGGTGCCGTCAAGGTCTCAGGGACAGCACCGAAGTGGAAGGAGGGCATGGTGAGCTTGCTTTCTGTACCCTCATGGGCGTGGAACATGGAATAGGTCTTTTTTCCTGAAGGCGGACTCAGTACAGCCAGGCACATTTCTCAGTGGAAACAGGGGTTGCTTCCAACTTCTTGTTGTTTGTTCCTAACTGAAAGTAGAAAATTGCCCGTCGTTCTCTGATCCATTTTTGCTGGACGCTGAGCTGCGTTCCGTTGCCCTTGCTATGGAGTACTGAATGTGTCTGGGCACCTAGAAGCCTGATACAATGCAGCAATGCACAGTTTCTCCATTTCAATGGCAATTGTATGCAGCCTGCTGTTTGAAAGGGTGATCATCGTGCATCGGTTGTCACTTCTTTGTGGGATTGGTGAATGAATAGTTGTGTTGTCCCGCAGCTAAAATACCATTCTCTGTGGAGGATGGGGTGCTGAGAAAGAAGATGCATCTGGTTTTCATGGTGGGTGTACTGGCCAATTGTTGTCAGTCAAAAGGAAGGTCTACGATGGCTGTAATCGTCGGAAGATCCGGTGAATGTCAGCATCTTGGCAGATGCATGCATGCGCTGTGTGCTGTGCAGCATGCAAGGGTGATGGTTTGTAGTGTCACTGTGGTTTTACGAGAAGGTTTTGACCTGTCTCCCTTTGTCGATGCATTCTTCTGCTCCGATATACTCTGTCCATATCTGCTTGCTTTGGAACGCAGCGCCCTTCTGTTTCCAGATTAAGGTAAACTTGGGCAGTGCCACTTTCCATGGCCTGCTGCCTTCCTTGTCCACTGCCCCCGTTGGTTCTCTCCTTTCCATTCGTTTCTCTCTGTTCTGGCCATGCTTCTTTGTTCTCTCCTTTCCATTCGTTTCTCTCTTCTGGCCACGCTTCTTGGTTCTCTCCTTTCCATTCGTTTCTCTCTCTTCTTGCCACGCTTCTTGGTTCTCTCCTTTCCATTCGTTTCTCTCTCTTCTTGCCACACTTCTTGGTTCTCTCCTTTCCATTCGTTTCTCTCTCTTCTTGTCTAGAAGAATGTCTACGATGCGTCTGAAACGACCACCTGTGTGTCTTCATTGATGCATTTCCGGTCGTCCTCGCAAAATGCCCGTTGATTGTATGTCTTGTGTCACATGTGTGTGCATTGACCTTGCTTTGTTTTTGACCAGTGCAAGCGGCTCAATGATCCTGGTCAAACAGTCAGACTTCTGCCATGGAAGGAGTGTTGCTCCTCAGAATGGAAGAGGTCGTGTTTTACAAA